ATCCTCCATTTGCTACCCCTTCCTTATGCTCCTACTTTTGCTCCACAAATCGAAAAGTAAAAGAAAAGAAAAAAGTGGAAAGTGGAAAGTAGAAAGTAGCAGGGAAAACTTTGCAGTAGGAGTCACAGCGAGAGCACGCAAAACAGCAAAAGACAGCGAAAAACTTGGCTGGGTGACGGTGTCGAAAGGAGCGACGCGACGGCAGCATTGTCTATCACAGATATTCGGTACGGTACGGCACGGTACGGTACCATCCTGTCACAGTGGGCGGCTGAAACCGAAACTGATGCTGCAGCCGCATGGGGAAGCGGTGGGCCTGGGAGAGAGCAGACATCTTTGATGGTACTCGTACTCGTAGTCGTAGTTTGCTTTCCCTACTTTTGCCAGTTTACAGGCTCCGCTGGGATTTCACAGTGGCAAAGAGGCGAAAAAGTTACCATGATCCATTAACGTTAATTGTTTGGCGGCGGCGGCGGCGTTGGCGTCGGCAGCGAGACAACTTGCTTGGGATTTGGTCGACACGCAGCTGCAGCCTCACGCCACACAGGAACCGAAACTACCACCACATATACACAATGGAGAGGCAGCAACAGCAGCAACAGCAACAGCAACGGCAACGGCACTCGGGTCTGTGAGGTGTGTATTACAATGACAGGGCAGGAAAGTTTTTCGGGGGCATCTTCCAACTCCACTCCATACTTAACTGCCACCTCCCCCAGCAGCCACGTAGGTCTCACCGAGACAGAGAGTCCTGGAGTTGACTAAATTCAATTAGAGCTGCCTCAAATTGGCATGCGCACACCTGTCATTGGGCTTGATAATGATGCATCTGGTGCGGCCAACAAAACTACGCCAATCCATTGCCAGGCCAGTCGTCCTTTTGGCAACTTTGTCCTTTGTCAGTGGGACTTTAAAGGAAAGCCAACTCAATGCTGCGCTGCACTAATTTTTGAGGCAAACTCATTCGACACTTTGACATACAGCTTTTTAAGTAATTGACAGAGCGGGCCTGCCAGGGATGCTCTCAACCAAGAACACACACACTCCGAAACTAAATCAATTAAAGTTATTCAAGCAAATTTAAACTGCCTCTGCAACAAAGGAACTCGCGCAGAGATGAAAAATGTGGGAGAGAGCCAAACGGCTTTTCACACTTGTTAATCACATTTTCGCGTCTTAAGCTAATAGCTGGGGCAACTCGGGCTGTGGGAGTGGCAGAGGCAGTGGCAGTGGACTGGCTGCCACAGTCAACTCATTGTAATTAAGCGGCTTAGGCATTTGAGAGCCTCTGCTGGCACAAAAGCGGGAACTGCTTTTAGGCCTCCGCCTCGGCCTCGGCATCGGCTGCCGCAAGACCAAGGTCGTCACCAGCTCAGCTCGGTCCCAGCCCCGCCGTCATTGCTATGTCTTTAGAGGCCAGTTTATCGAATTAAAAAAAGCAATAAGCAAGTGGGCCAGGGAGCCGGGGGAGCCAGGGGTCCGGTTTCCTGTCGGCTCACACTTCATTGTTCCCGACCATAGTGGAGGGGCACAATAAAACTGAAGTGGCTGTGGGGATGCCGCTGGCCGGGTCCCCTCTCTGACCCTCTCCACATCCTCTTCTGTACATTGTACATACTGGGGAATTGCTGCGAGACTGCAGAGTGGGGCATGGAGCGTGGAGCGCGGGGCATGGGCCATGTGCGGCCAGTGGCTGTGCCGGGCAAAGTTGGCATAATTATTTCATTAACACTTAACAAGTGGCCAAGCCGAGGCGGGTTTTGGTGCGGGTGTGGGTCCAGTCTGGGAGCGGATCTAAGTCTGGGTCTGGGGTCCGGGTCGTCCGCTGCCCCGATGCCGGAGAGCAAAAACTTTCGCATTACGCATTTGTGTGCAATTTTCAAATTAACAATTGTTAATTTTGTTCTTGTTGCCAGTTGCCAGTTGCCAGTTGCTTCTCTTTTTTCTTTTGCTTCAGTCCGTCCTTCTTTTCATTCCTTCTATCATGCGGGCGTGTAACAAAACAAAACGTAAAATGAACACAAAAAGTTGGCAACAAAAAATTTTAAAAATATATAAATTTGACCGTTTGCCTTTTAAAAATACATTTTTTTTTTTTTTTTTTCTTTTTCTCAGCACTGCAGCTCTGTCCCGCTGTTGGTTTTCTTCGTTAATTTCGTATTTTTCTCTTACCAACTTTTTATTGCGTGTTTAGCATAATTTTTTAATAATTACATTTTTGTGTGCTTGACCAACAAAAAAAAAAAAACAAAACGAAAGCACACAAAAAAATGTGCGGGAATACAAAAAAGAGGGAAAATATTGAAACAAGAAAGAAAAAGAAGGAAACGAAGGAAAATAATAAGCAACAAGGACAGCAGGCAAAAGGAAAAGCATCGTTTTCGTTGCCACTCGTTGCCCGCTCGTTGACTGTGGGCAAAAAGTTTAACAAAGTTTATTTGCATTACTGACAAACTGTTTAATTAGGGATTTTTTCTTAGATTTTTCAGCTGCAAAACTTTCTGTGTGCCACTGTGTGTACATGTCAGCCTAAGTGTATATGTGTGTGTGTGTGTATGTATTTGTGTGTGTTTGTGTTATGCCACAAATACAATTAAACGTGGCAGCCGAGAGAGCGCACGCCACAAAACCAAAATAAAATCAGCCTTAATCTGGCCAGAGAGTACTCGTACGTACGGTGGCCTTTGGGAGGGTGGGGTTAGGGCAGCTCGATCCTCTTACGCTTGGTAATTTAGGTTGAATTTATATCACGCTGCAAATTGAAGGTTATTTAAATATACATATATCCATTTAATGGGTATTCCAATTAAAGCTTTGCATCCATATTCAACGTTAGCTTCAAATAATCCTATCAAATGGAATATATTTCGAGTGGAAATCTATAAAATTTCTGAAAAAATTGTCAATAAATAATTTGAGTATCTACTATATATCCAATTAAAGTACACACATGTTGACATGACATGGAATATTGTGGAAGGTAAGTTTAAGTGGGCATATGTACATATAAAACTGGAGAAAATTGTTGAAAAATTGGATCAAAATACGGCAGCTCAATAAAATCGGAATTAATTACTGCAAAAATGTCTGCTATGTATACCGATGGGAAGGAAACCATCTAAAATGTATAGAAAAATAAATACACATTGCTATTTTCGAATTTATTCGGGCATAAATATAACAAGACAAAATTGTAGCCTGAAAAACTCGAAACTTAAAATACTCTTCGTTGCAAATGTCTAAGATTGGACGAAGCTGAACTTTGTAGCTCTGAAATCTGTACTTCCGTAATAAGATGAAAGGGCATACGGGATGACAGATCGTAGTTAGCTGAATAGCTGAATATATCCGAGGAAGGGAATATCCGTGAGAATTTCACTCGCCGCTTTAGTTGCTTAGAGATTATCGACTCGTGGCAAGCTCTTGATCAAAAGTATACCACTCTTTTGCAGGGCATCAAACTATCCATTCTTATTGCTTCTGGTGAGGCTTAATCGAACTGTGGCAAGTAAACGAGGCATCTTTATGTGTGTCTGCACCGTGATGCTCCATGGAGCGGCAGCATAGAGGAGCCACAACCACATCCACATTCCCATACGCAGACAGCAGGAGAGACAGGCATCCACATTCTGATAGCAGCTGTCAGTCACTCAGGCAGTCCGTTAACCAGGCAACCAGGCGAAAGGAGCAGCTCAGGCCCTGGTCTTGGGGGGGTCGGGTCCAATGGACAGCAGAATGTGCTCGCATCATTGTAATTGTTAATTACTCTGATATTTATTCTTATTTTCAGCTGCTGACTGCCTGTCCCTCGCCCCTTTGGGGCTGCCCCATGCACGCACGCACTTGGTCTGCTGCAAAAGGAGAGCAACAACTTTGGCAGCTGCTGTGTCCAGTGGCTCGTGCATATTTATGCTTATGGCAACATCTTTTGCTTAAGCCACGACTGGAGCGCTGATTTGGCCGCCACACGCAGCTAACAAGCGATGACCACCCACCCAAACCAAACCAAACCACACCATCCCATCCCACCCACACGTCGGCACCAAACAACGTCGTCATGCCATTTGGCAGTGGGTGGATGGGGGAACGGCAGAGAACGTCCAGAACGAGCCACGTCAAGTGAGTTCACAATTTTTGCGTGCCACCATTTTTCTTCCGCCTCTGTCAGCCACTGCTACCCCCTCCCACACCCCACCCACTCTGCTCTGCTTCGGCCGTATGCTGCACGGATTATCCTTGGCATGCAACGCCTTTATCCTGTTTTATTTGTGTTGTGCTGAAGGCTCTCCTCCGCCATATCCTATTCTTCTCCTGCTTCTCTGCTTCTCTGCTCTCCTCTCCTCTTCTTTTTTTTTTTGCCCGCTGATTTCGCTACTTAATTTTTTTTGCCCTTTTTTTTTGGTCCGCCATGCTGTCTGTGTCTCTCAGTTCACCCGTCTCTCTGACTGTCTGTCTGTCTGTCTGCCCTCTGTGTATCGTCTCGTTTCCGTTCTGGCGGAGCTGATTGGGCGTATTTTGTTATTTTCATGTAGCTGCTGCTGCTGCTGGTGCTGCTTCTGCTGCTGTCTGTCAGTCAAGCCAAAAACGAAGCCAGAAGAAGTCTCGTTCATTATTCTGCTTTTGCCCCTGCTCTTAGTCGTGGCCCTGGCACTGGTCCCGGCCACGGCCACGGTCCTTGTCCTAGCCCCCAGTCCCAGTCCCGGGCGGCACCCGCTCGTTTGTTCATTCGCTTTTTTCCCACGTAATTAAAACTTGAAACGCATATGAATTAGAAAATAAAAAAAGAGACTGGAATAAAATACGAGAACGCGACCCGGAATGGAGCCATTTCATGCTACAGAATGACATCCTGTTCCCGCAGTCTGACATCGTTAACATCGCTGATTAAGTTTTCTTGTCCTGTGCTCTGTCTGCCCGTCACTCAACGTGATTTGAAATGAAATTTTTATAATTTCTGCACCACCCCCATTGGGTAGCCCGTCCTCTTCCTAACCCTTTACTTTTGTCAATTATTTGCTTTATTACTGTGCTGGCTGGTACATCGTCATTGAACACAGCGCTCGGTGGACCTCAGCGGCCAAAGAAGTCGCCAGGAAAGCGTCCAGCATATCTACGACCTTGGTAGGGATTGCCAAAGGGACCGCCATAGAAGGGTCCGCCGTAGAGACCGCCGCGATAGGGGGGAGGGTTCCTAAACGGACCGTCGCGACGGTCGGAGCGACCTCCTCCCCGCCTTCCACCAAAATCACCAAATCCGATTGCGAATCCTCCAACTTGACGCCGCACACGGTCCAATGAAACATCCACATCTCTTCCTTCGTCCAGCAGAGGCTGTGGCTGCGGCTGCGTCTGCTGCTCTTCCGCCTTGGGGTCATTGGATGCCTCTGGCATCATTGTTGCATCACCTTCCGCTAGGGCGGCCAGCAGGGCTGCAGCAACCACCAGACAGCGGAACGAATGCATCTCAGTACTTGAATGTCGTTCTGGATCATACCTGGCCTTATTTATAGCAATTGTCCAGAGCCCGACCCTAGCAGCACAAGCAAGTTTAGCTCTTAAGTGAAGCAATTAAAGCTCCAACTGATAATCTAAGCTTAGATCTCATCAGATATTCCCTTGCACAAATTGCGCTGCCCAGCACTCAATTTTCAGCTGGCAAAACCCTAAATATAATTCTGGAATTCTTTGCCCACAGCTGTAATAATGACATCATCTCCGCTATCTGCACCAAAGTGATTTACCCTGCTCGCAGCTTGATCCCCGGCCAGAACTCCATTACATTCTGTGACATCTTCCGCCAGAGGCATTGCGCATAAATAGGTAATGGCACCCATCCTCCAATGGATGGCTGAGCACTTTAAAGTCACAAATATAACACGGGGAATAGAACAAACTGGTTTAGCACTTGGTAGGGTAATTAGGGCAGTAGCTCGCGGTGATTTATTAGCAGCTAATCCAGGTCTGATCATATCATATATGCACATTAAATGAATAACACTTAGCCGAAGAAGGGGCCTCCAAAGAAGGGTGGGGGCGGAGGATAGAAGCCGCCAAAACCTCCCCGCCCGAATCCGCCACCGCCGAATCCTCTTCGCCCACCACCATATCCACCGCCATAGCCGCCTCCAAAGCCTCGTCTGCCATAGCCACCGCCTCCAAAGCCTCGTCTGCCGTAGCCGCCTCCAAATTGCCTGGCCAGGCGCACTGCCGGCATCTCCTGCTGCTCTGTTCCCTGATTTACATCCGCCAAAGTCAGTTGCTTTACATCCGCCTCGGCTGTCGCCTCCTGTGCCTGTGCCTGGGCATGTGTCTGGGACGGTGCCAGTGCTAGGACCAGAACCAGGCCAACACTTAGCACTAATAGATTCAAGTGGTGTACGCGCATTGCTGTATATGTCTGTACTTTCGCTTCGTTGGGGGGCTCGCTTCTCTTTAAAACAGAGCCGAACGCTGGCCTAGGCCTTTATATACGGATTGCTGCCAGCCCCTCCTAGATGACTGGGGGTTCTAAACGAGTTGTGTGTTGACGACCTCAAACAATTAAATTTCCTGAGCATAATCAAATGGCGGAGAAAACCCCCGCCATCAAGTGCCCTCGAGCAGACGCAACAAACAAACAAATTAAACGCGCAAAAAAATCAAAATACCAAACTCATTTCTACACAACAAAAACAACCTGTTTCCCCGTTCCCCCTCTACACCCAGTCACTCCATCTCTCACCTCGTTCGGTTCTAAATATGTTTTACCCGCGGGGGGAGCATCGAAAGAAACCCAAGAACTTTTTAATGAAGTCTCTTTCGAGACATACACTACAATTTACAAGTGGAAATATTTTTTAGTTCTGTGCCCCTCAACAAAACTACTCAACAATATCCTTAGGTGGATACGTTTATGCTTAAAGATATTGAGGAAAAGTTCTGTGACAGTATTGTATTTTCTAAGCTGTTGCTCAACTGTTTTCAGTAGTTTGCTTCAAACTACGCTCCAACAAAAAAGGTATTCAGAATTGTTTATGAGCATCATTAGTCGACTCTTAAAGTTCTCAGTTTGGCTTTGAATTTAAGTTTCGAAAAAGAAAACTTTAGCTTTGGAAAACATCCAAACAGAACTACATCTGATACTTGATTATATTGTATACAGTATTTAAACAAGTACTGCATTCGAGTGTCTCAATCTCAATTAATCAGCGATTTTTTTACACACTTATGTGGCTGGGAATATGCCTCTCCATGGATAAGCAATGATGCCACAAAGTCCCCCAAAATAGATGGGATCAAGTGAATCAGACACTTCTCTATTCCTCTTTTCAAGATGGCCCTCGATGTATTTTGATTTTTCTGATCGACTTGACAGCTGACAGATAATTTTTTTTTAGCGCTCACCATTGGGGAATTTATAATAAAATAATTCTCTGTTCTTGGTAGATTGCTCATAAAAAAGTATAATCGTTGTAAGTTATCAGCAAAGACAGGTAATATGCACTACTATCCAAATTGGAAATAAATTAATTAACGATTTCTTTTTTTCTTCTTTTAAGAAAAAACGTCCACAAAGTAGCGGTAAAACGATACAGCAAGCGAATTAAATTTATAATCTGGTGACCAACAGCAAATAACGGCTTTTGATGCCTATTTAATTAATGGTTCTCCTCATAACTGAATTAACTAACCATTTTTATCTACAGTTCTTAATCGTGTATAAATAATTATTAACTTTTATAAACAAACTCTTACAAACCAAGATGAGTCTTTCAAGTCTATTTGTTCCAAGCCAATAAATTTTTCTAGCAAATAAATGCAAAAAAAAAAGTTACTTCTGAGCCCCATCCGAAAGGATTAAAATGTACCTAATAGTAGACCAAACTATGTCCTAATGCGCATAATTCCCACTGTAGAAGAGTACTTTGGGCTTTCATTTTAATTCTCATAAAAATTAGTGCTGACTTTTATGACGAAAATGTATATATGTACATACGTATGAGTCAGAATTTTTGGAATATATACATAAATACAAGTAAGCTCTGTGGGTAAACAATTTGACGCAATTCAGATGGCAAGAGAACAGGTAAACCATCTCTAAGCTACTTAAAAAAATATTTATATACATACATATATGTATGTATGTTGGTATGTATGCATATATATGTTTATGCATATGTGAATATGTTATTTCATTAGTCGACATCTAATGCTCATTAAGAGATTTCGCAAGCACAGGCCACATGTGAGCTGTTTACAATTTAGAGAAGCAGCCCCGAGCGCCTACCAAAACGATACGTATTTATAAGCCATAAATAACGTGTAAACAAAAAGCAGCCACAAACAACAAGTCTGTGTTCGGTGGGCAGAGGCAGGTCCTGGGTCCCAGGCCATATCTTGTGGCAGCAGCCGCAGTGACAACAACAACAACAGCAATAGTAGTAACAACATCGCGGCCAAATTATAAGGCTATAAAAGGCAATAAAAAAACTTTGCGATATCAAATTACAACGCCCTCATAAAGTTATAAAAGTTTCGAGCGTATCAAACAAAGCACGTTCCGCCCCTGCTCCTGCTCCTGCTCCTGCTTCAGCACCTCGCCACTCCACCCACTTTCCGGCGGCGGCCCCCTTTTTGGGGCAGGCCTAATATTTTCAATAACAAATCAATCAGCTGCGGCTGCTGCCGCGTCGGTCAACATGGATAATCAGTTTGAGCGCCTTTTTGCCCGCCTCTCCTGATCCCGTGTGGGGATGCTGCCAGCTGCTTTGGCGTCGGCAACTGTGTGGGAGTTGGCATGGATAAGGTCCATAGTGGGCGGGCATATTTTTGAAGGTGCCGCTAGATTTATTGAGACACGATTTCGATAAGAACATCGCTATTAAAATGGCCAAAAGCAAAAGAAATGGGATCAAACAGCAGCTCATCGAAGCTTAAATACTCTTCAGAATATGTTAACATTATAATTTAAAAAAAAGAACCCTCCACATCGCTTAATAAAGTTCTTAATAGACTGCTCCGGTAAGCGAACTGGAAGAGAATGAAAAAAAACTAAAGCCAAGAGCAAATTAATTGTGAGAAGCTTCAAAAATTTCCACTCATTTTAATGTTATTGTGTCTAACAAAAGCATCGATAAAAGTGGAAGCCACTGAGACAGTTTATCGTTATTAATTTATTAGTCATTCTAATTAAGATGCCCACTGTGAAGCGGGGTACGGCACATATTTCAAGAACCTAAATTGCAACATTCAACAGCAGCAAGAATTCGAGTATTTAGGTCTCGAGTATTTAGGTCTCGCCCGCTCAGACTGCAAACTCAAATTGCTTCTCAACAACGTGCCAAGTGTATCCTATCCCGTGGAAGTGTAGACTAACAAAGCCCTTTACAAGACTGCGTTTCGATAGCAAGGAATTTTTCTCTTGGCAAAAAAAGGGGGCGAAAAAACGAAGTAGAGGGCGAAATAAAGAGAAAAAAAAACGAAAACTTTTATCAATGTTGGCGTATGGGCAATTCCATGGCTGTGTGGGTGTCCTCCACGCTAAGGTCAAGGGGATAACAAAAGGCGTAAATTTAAAGCCCAGTTAATTTTTTAACAATAAAGGGGCGCTTGTCAAGTCGAAATTTTACAGCAAACGTTTAATCTTAAACGACTTAGGGGGCCTAACAAGGGGAGAAGGAGAGATTGGCAAGACGGATAGCACCCGCCACTGGCAGCAGCATCAGCAGTATCAGCAGCTCCAGCAGTTGAGTTTCAATGGATTGCTTTGTTATAAATAGGAAAAGCAAGCGGCAAAAGAAGGAATTAAATGCTTTCACAGCTAAACAATGCAGGCAGGGCCAATGGGGCAGGAGTGGATCTGCCAATCACTGGGGAAACTGGCTTCTGTGGATGAGTGAGCGGCAATGCAAATGACAAGGAAATTAAGTGAGTCAAAGAGTAGGCAGATGTATTTCCAACTCAATTAAAACGTGCTCGATTACACTATGATTTCACATTATATTCTATTCTATTCTATTTTATTCTAGGCTATAGCACAAGTCAGTCACGTCACGGATTGTGATGATGGTGGGGCGGAGTGTTTAGCGACCATAGCCAAAGCCTCCTTGTCCTCCGCCGAAGCCTCCGGGTCCTCCAAAGCCGCCACCGGGACCGCCGAAACCACCGCCGCCAAAGCCGCCTTCTCGTCTATCTCCGAAGCCACCGCCGCCAAAGCCGCCCTCGCGTCTATCTCCGAAGCCACCGCCGCCAAAGCCGCCTTCGCGTCTATCGCCAAAGCCACCGCCGCCGAAACCGCCCTCTCGTCTTCTTTCGAAGCCGCCAAACTGACGAGCCTGACGCGCAGCAACCGGCGCCGAGACACCTGCATCCACATCGAGCAGCGAGGTGGCCGCCGCATTGGTGCTGGCGACCAGGGCAAGGACCGCCAGGACGAGGCAAATAAATGTGCGCATTTTGGATAAACTTCTTTCACTAATCACCGCCAAAGTTACAGCGACTTCTATGGAGACCCAACTCCATGGCTTGCCAATTTATATGATTTGGGATTTATCGACTGGCGGCAGCGGCAGCGGCGGCGGCGGCAGCAAATAAAACCAGAAGTGGTTCGACCGGACATCAGCAGCATCAAAGTTGTGAGTGGTTCGCCGACTGAAATGAATACTCGGCGGGGCAGAGCGATTCGTATTAACTGACAGACAACAATAAGAGAAGGAGATCAAATTCAGAGAGAGCCGCAGCAATGGCCATAGCCAAGACAGTAGCAACAGCCATAATAATAACCAAAACCTATTAGGCAACAAAACGGAGAAGAGGCAAAGTTTTAGCCAGGGCCCAGGCGGAGACTGCCAACAATATTGGCCAAGTGAGTTTGCTTCTTCTCCTCCACCCCTGCCCCTGCTCATCTCTGTCTGTCTGTCTAGCCAGACGTGCTATCCAAATGCGCAAAACATTCAAGTTCCAGATCAATAGACAAGTGGCCCTGTGTCCAAGTGTGTGCTGCCGGGAACCACCGCCTCAAGTGGTGCTCTCTCTCCTTCATCTTTCAGATTTCGTAACGCTTTTTGTTTGCATTGTTTTCTGTTTTTCTGATTGTCTGACTTAATTAAAATCTAGGCATAACAGCAACAGCCCAAGCCCAAGCAACTGGTTGTTATTCAAATGCCATCACTGTTTTCGTTTTCGTTTTCATTTGAACTGAGCTCTCTGATTCATCTCGGTTATTGGCTTACTCAGGGGTTAGCACATGCCAAAAATAGGAGACTTTGCTTTGTATAATAAACAGCCGAATTTAAATGGGATATCACTTTCCACTGAATTGTTCTTTATTAAGACGTCAATCATTGTTGAACTTCCAGATCATTGGCAGCTAGACATAATGGAATTTATCACCAAACAATATGTTTTTCATAATAAATAATTAAAAAAAAAAACAACCCAGCCAAGAAAACAAGCGACACCATAATCTTACATATATGTACACTGATAGAAAAAAGGCATAGTAAAAATAACTACAATCATATTTGAATATAAATGCCATTTTTAAATACAAACATAGTAAAATTTAATAGAATTCACTTTGATTAAAATATAAATGTATTAAAAATGCTTTTTTAATACGGTCATATTTAATCTAAATACAACACACTTCAAAATAACTATAATATATTTGTAGTTTAATATGTTTCATATTTAAATTGAATATTATTATGACTTGATTTCAAAATTTTTCTTTTAAAATAAAAAGGAAAAACTTTTTATTTTAAATATTCCATATTAAATGAAATCAAATATTTTTTGTATTTATTTTAACTATGTTTATATTATTTTTTTATGTCCCTCGAATTCCCAACTGGTTCCAGCTGCTGCCGCCTTAAATGCACAGTAAAATTAGCTTAGCGCAAGGGCATAATCACAACCAATGCAGTCCTACTCATGTTGCGAGTATTTCTAGTTGAAAACTTAAACCAATTCACACCATGAGGGCTTGAGATGCGTACGCAAAATAATAACCAATTAGTTAAAAATGAATATAAATATGAAACATATTCGATTTAAATATTAAACGTATTAAATTTAAATATGAAGCATATTAACATAAAATATGAAACATATTAAATTTAAATATGAAACATATTAAATTTAAATATGAAATATATTAAATTTAAATATTTCTATATTAATATCAAAATTTAAGTGAAAAATATTAAATTTTAATACAACCACTCTTGGGTGAAAATCAATGGCATAAATATTAAAATCTAAGTGAAAATATTAAAATTTCAGGGCTTTTTTCTATCCGTGTACGTATCCCGCAAAATAGATTGATAATAATAAACGTCAGACAATTCGTAGAAACACCTTGGATCCCAGAAACAATATTATCAAGTTGTATATATTGACTCCGAAAACACTTCCGTAACTCAAAACTTTACATACATAACTTGGCAATAAAAATATTGTAAGTTGTTACGTGTTCGATGTTTTGGGTAATCATGTATTTTATGCAAATTTTGTTTACTTTTTGGAAACCTTTTAAAGGTTGAATGGAGTCCCATTTAAACCTTTAATCTACTTAGAACTTTTCCAAATAAATTTAATAATAAATGAAATAAAAAGCAAAACAAAAAGTGTGAGTGGAAACTACAAACAACTCATAATAAAATATTAAAACCGGCTCATAGTCGCCCTGTCGCCCCTCGATTTCATTCCATTAATTTATTGAACTATGGGCCAAAATTCGATATTTTTTGACTGCATAAACTTACTCAGAAGATACCCACGATGTTAATGCAAACCTTACAAAAAGAAATATTCTGAGAGAATTTAGAATAAATGCGGAAAATGGGACATAAGTGCACGACACTCCATTATGGGTGAAGTAAACATCCTATATGCCACATCACTTCAAGAGTACGAGGATAACATTAATCTAAAGCGAAGGAAACATAAGTTTGAACTTTAAAACAAATACAGAAAAAGTGGAAAAATATTAACTATTCCTTGTAAAAAAAAAACAATACAGCTCTCGTTGCTTGTTGAACAGGCCTGTTGTACTTCTAGGTATTTTTTAACAGCCATGTAATTATGCATAATTAATGGAAGTCAGCTAAATATCCGCAGAGAGCAGTTCAAGTATTAAATATGTAGCATTCAATTTAATGTTTTTCTGTTGTTGCACTCATTACAGTACAGTACAATACATTATAGTAATAATGATGAGTACTTGTAGGATGTTGACAAATTTTTTCAATGTGAAAAAAATAGAAGGGCATGCCAGTAATGTCCCTTTGCCGCTGACTGCTGGCGGTATTAATGCCATATTAATTTGATTTTTAATAAGAAAAATGCCTTCGAGTAGATAGAAATACTTCAAAGCTTGGCCCTCAAGCCATTTCCAACAACGCCTCTTTATGCTGGTCTGGTGAATGAATTACCTGGCCAGGACCCGAACACCTGACTGTCTGCTGCGCTGGCGCCAATGTAAATTAGTAATTTAACTAATCGCCAACTGGTTTTTGGCCAACTGAAGAATAAATGTTTGTCTGGTCCTCCTGCAGTTCGTTCCCTTCCCGCTTCCGCTCCCTTCCCGCTACTGATTATGACAATCATACTCAAAATAGTTTTTCGGCGGCTGGGGCAGAGTAAAAAATGTATTTTTAATTTATGCCAAGGCTGGGTCCTTTTTCAGCGCGTTTTTTGTTGCACTCTCTGGCAAAATTTATGCGGAAGTTTACAGCATCCACTGGATTGGGATACTGCGAGTGGGAGTGGGAGTGGGTCTGGGGCTCAGGGCAGAAGGATGTTGAATCTGAAAATGTGCATCGTTTTGACGTTGACATCGTTAATTGACCCAGTTTCTGGACTGGCTAAAAGCATTTAAATTTGAATAAGCAAATTTGGGCAGCGAAATGGAGCGATTTACCCATCGCCCTGCCACAACGAAAGCTTTGCATAAATGAATTAAAATGCCGCAGCTCTGGCTTTGGATTAGACTTAGGATTGGCCGATTCGCAATTTGCCAAAACACATGCGGCAAAACCGCAATAAGGCAATAGAGAGCTATAGAGGCCGAGACGCCACAGTGCCATAGAGCCATAGAGCCATCGAGCATTGTTAATGGCCAGCCAACGCTCATAAAACAAACAGCGTGCCAAACAAAGCCAAACAAACAAACAAACAAACATACAGACAAACAGACACACAGGCCGGCAAACAGGCCAACTGGCAAACTGGCCGAAACGGGGCAAACAGCCAGAACAACAACCAACAGCAATTCACACTTACGCACCCAAAGTTGCAGGAGGCGTCGGCGTCGCTTATGACGTGCGCCCGGAATGTGGGCCTGGAATGGAGATGAGAATGAGAATGAGAATGAGGCAAGGCAGGTCAATAGCATAACTAACCTTCGAGTGGAATTAGCACATTTACACAGCTTAGCCGACCACAGCACGGTCGAAGTTCGACCGCCGCAAAGTGAAATGTTTTGCTCTTTAAACCGCCATACACCTGGCCATTCGATTCCATGAACGCCACTTAGCGGGCGTCCCAATGGCCCACAATGGCCCAGACTCGTAGCTGCGAAGCTGCAAACTGAGAGCAAGTGCCTGGCCTGGCCTGCCCTGGCCTGGTCTGGATAGGCATATGAATTGGCTTTTTGTTCGCTTTTGGGCGCACTCGCATATTTTAATAGTTTGTTTTATGACATTTACATTAGCGTCTCATTTTGCTAACAAGCAGCGGGGACGGGGAAACAAACAGCAGCAGCAGCAAAGAAAGAAAAAAAAGAAACAAAAGTTTCTATTTTATGCGCAAAGTTCTAGGCTATAAATGCGCCGGGCCAGACCTGCCCAGGTCACAGTTTGCCTCACAGCATTAACCCAGACGGAGCACGGAGCAAGCAGCAAGCAGCACGGAGTACGCAGACACACCTACAAACCCACTGATAAAGTCAAGCAACCAGTTCAAGGAGTCATAAGGATAATGCGTAGCTGGCTTTTATTGGGATTATATGCGCTGCTAATCGCCGCAACAGTTGGCCAGCCACTGGAGCAGAATGCGCCCGCCGAGAACGAGGGATCGGAACGAGGAGAGCGCGTGAGTCGCCAAATTGGCTATCCATACAGCTACGGAGGTTATGCGGGCTACGGCGGTGGCTATGGTGGCTACGGCGGATATGGCGGATATGGAGCCGGTATGCGCTATCCTTATTATCCTTATGGCAATCTGTACGGTTCCAGCGGCCTGGGGCTGGCGGGCAGCGCTTATGGTCGTCCTTATGGTTATGGCAATGGCTATAATATTGGATATCCGTTCATTGGCGGTTTTGGTGCTACTGCCGGAGGCATCTATGGCGGCGGTGCGCCATTCGCCCCATTCGCTTAAGAACCAAAAAAGAAGAAATAGAAATAGAAACGAAAACACTTTGACAGCAGCCCAGTAAAAAGAAAACTACTAAAAACCGAACCACTCAACGCAGATGTTTCACTTTGATAGCCGCGATTTCTGGTCTGGCGA